TAAAATGGCTAATGATGAGGTGATTCTGTTGGATTTTTGGCCTAGCATGTATGGTATGAGGCTAAGGATTGCACTTGCTGAGAAAGAGATTAAATATGAGTACAGAGACGAGGATTTGAGGAACAAAAGTCCTCTGCTTTTGCAGATGAATCCTATTCACAAGAAAATCCCTGTTTTGATTCATAATGGCAAACCAATTTGTGAGTCTATCATTGGAGTTGAGTATATTGATGAAGTGTGGAAGGATAAAGCCCCTTTGCTCCCTTCTGATCCTTATGAGAGAGCACAAGCTAGGTTTTGGGCTGATTACATTGACAAGAAGGTAAATTCATAGCCCTTTCCCCTTTTCATTTTAGTATTTATTAGCCAATCTAAACTAATTTGGGATTGAAGCATTTTTCTGCTGTGTTTGTGTTGTTACAGTGGGTTAGAGTTCCACCTCGATTTGAATAGATTAGTTGTTTACTTATATGAACATAGATAATTCTCTTGCCGTGAACTAACTTTTGAAGTTGACTGAGTTAGACATATGTGTTACGTCTTTACATGATTTTAGAGTCAGATTCATTTTTGTTTGTGCTTCTAATTAATTTGAACTCATGTTGAATCAAGACATGAAGGGATGTAAAAGTGGGTTAGAGTCGCACATTAGTTGGAGAATGAACTTTCCTAATTATGAGCTAACTTTTAAGATTGAGTAAGGTTTAAAGTTTCATATAATATATGATATCAGAGTCAGATTCATTTCTATTTGAATTTCTGTCCCAAGAACTAGTTGGGCCTTGATGTGAAGAGTGTGTTAAGAGCCCCAAATTGTGTCGTTTATATAATTTTAGTTAATCATCACTTCACAAGCTAGACAACCCCCACCCCCCTTTCCGCGCTCTAGATGCTAAGTCGTGGTGGTGTTAGAGGTTAAATTAGTTGAAGAAATGAAATATTGTCTTGGTTAATCCTATTCCCCACTTTGTAAACCAGGACCTCCTACTCCAGATGCTCAGTCTTAGGCGTGAGGGGTTCAACATTAGTTGAAGAAATAGAATACTGTCTCAGTATAAGTTCATGTTTTGTGGCAATAAGTTTTGACCGTTTTCTTGTGTTTGTTGAAATTTCAGTTATATGCTACAGGAAGCAAGATTTATACAGCAACGGGAGACGAACAAGAGGCAGGTAAGAAAGATTTCGTAGAAATCCTTAAAGTGTTGGAGGGAGCACTTGGAGAGAAGCCTTATTATGGAGGAGATAACTTTGGTTTTGGGGATATTGCTCTCATTGGGTTCTACTGCTGGTTTCATGCTTATGAGGTTTATGGTAACTTCAGCATTGAGGCTGAGTGCCCAAACCTTGTGGCTTGGGCCAAGAGGTGCATGCAAAGGGACAGTGTGGCTAAAACTTTGCCTGACCAACATAAGATCATTGAGTTTGTAAAAATTCTTAGGGAAAAGCTTGGACTTGAATAAATAAACATATGCATATCATAGTAGTATTGAAGAAAGGCACTTCATTCTGCCTTTATCTTGTGTTGTTTCAAGATTTGAAATGTTTGTTTGGTTATAGTGTAAGTTCTATTTCTAATAGTAATAAAGGATAAGCTTGTGTCTTGTTAAATGTTGGCTTTTGTGATGAGAAGTAATTACTTTTTTTTTATCTAACACAATACTCTCTATGTTGTGTAGACCTTAGTCCATAAGTGTAGAATGTCGATATAGCGTCTAGTTATGTTAAATTATTACTCTAATATTCGACATATATGAAGAGTATAATAGTAAATTACTATCGTGTTATCTAATAACCTGATACTAAAAATCGATAATTCAATAATTTTTTTTATAAAATCATTAAAAATCTAATAAATTAATAATATTTTTTCAATTCATTTTAATGGGAGGTTTAATTTTTGCATACCACTACTTGATGACTATAAAACCCACTTCTATGTTAAAAGAGTCTACTTTGTGAGTCTACATTCTATAAGTGTGAGATTGATAATTTGATTCAAGTTGGTAAGGAAAATGTACCACAAATACTCATTTTTTTTAAAAAAAAATAAATTTATCCAATTCGGACACAACTTATGACTTACATGATAAGAAATAATAAAATTTGCGTATCAATTTACAATTTTGGCTGGTGTTGGGAAGTCAAAATATATGATTGAAGTGCAATCAAATTTTTATTCAGGTACTTAAGGCATGGATGTCACAAGTGTAAATGTTGGTTTATTGATTATTTCTTTTGACTATAAACAAAAACTTATTTTGTTGAATTTCAACAATTTAATACGTACACGATTTAGTGCACAAATATACTTCAAATGATTATAATTTGAAATATAAGTTTCAAAATTTTAAAGAACGAATTCCAATCATTTTACTCCTTCCGTCCGGTATTGTTTGTCATGATTTCTTGTTTTAACGTCAAACTATAAAAATTTTGACTAACGTTTTAAGATGCATTTTTCATCATATTTATATGCAAAAAATAGTAATTTATAGTATTTTTCATCTAATTTTAAAATATCTAATTTTTTTGTTTAAAATATTCAATTAATATAATCTAATTTACCTTTGAAAATTAATCAAATTGATTTTCAATAAACGTAACACGACAAACATTTCTGAACAAAACGAGTACAATATTGATCTATTTAAGATGCACGTGACTGAAGTGCATTCAATTCTTCCATGCAGGTAAAATATGTCTACTTATTTTACCTACCAAAAATAAAAGTAGAGAAAATAGTTAAAAGTCCCTAGTATTAATTTATAGTATGATTTCAAAGTGAAAAATGCCAAAAAAAAAGGGTACATTTTAGTCATCTTTTATCTTTCGTCTCTCTCTTTTTATTTAATTTATATTTAACTAAAATCATTGACAGCATAAATATCAAATAATTGTGAAATAAAATTAAACAAAAAGTCAAGCTTGATAGTGTAGTTGGCATACATTTCAAATCCCAACCATTTTTCCGTTTTAATTAAAACCTTGCGAAAGGGACTTTGATATTTTTTTGAAAGTAAAATTATAAACCTTAAAAAATATACACATTGTTTGTTTGTACAACTCAAAGATATCTATATGAACGTGTAATCTAAAGTAATTTATAAATACTTGTATTGATTGATAGACGTTTTAAGTTTTATTTTTCGTTTTATATGTTTTTTTAATTGTTAAGGTTTTCGTTATTTGTACATGTGAAACTAGTAGTAACTTTTTTACAATTTATATATAACTCAAAAAAAAAATTTGTCCTATTTTCGTTTATGAGCAGAGCTAGAAGATGTAAGGAGATAATCTGAATCTTATTTGTTAAAAATTTACATTATATATGATCAAAATTATATATCTATACATCTAAAATCAAATATTGAATCTTCTAATTGAACTCTTAGTATATTTATTTATTTATATTTTTGATTCTTCTTTTTTTTTAAAAACAAACAAATTAAATATGACCCTATCGCTATTAAATGATGTGGTATAATATAATTTTTCTACATGATAATTAGTTAGATCTCTTTTCTACGTACTCGATAAATTCGGAAATTCATAAGTATGGTTAATAGTCTCCATCGTGAGAAATCGTGTGGACGTTATTTGCAAGTTCTATTAAGAAGAATCTTGATATTTAGAATTGTTAAAATGCTTGAAAATAGATGTTATTTGGCCATAGTAAATTGTAATTCTCTTTTCTTTTTCTTTTTTAAAATGTTTTAATGACATACGATTAAAATCAAACATTCTTTTATTTGATTTTCAAAATCTAAATAATATTATATAAATTGAGATAAAAATATTTAATCGTAAACATATTAAAAGATTTTGATGTCTTTTTTTAACGTTTTTAAAAATTTATTGTAACAAATAAATTTTGGAATAAATAAAACATTAAATTTGGCGGAGATTTCCAAGATAAAAGAGGAACAGAAAATAAATGGAATATTAAAATTGGCGAAGATTTCGAAGATAAGAAAAGGAACACGAGAACGTATAGGAGCCTCTATTTTCTGAACTTACTATTTTAAGCAGATATTTCGAATTTGAATTTCAATTAAAAAAATATTTTTTATACACTTCTAATTAAATATTTAGATATGAGTTTAAGTTTAAGAAAATACTATTATCAATCATGTTTTAGTCAGAAATAAAGATATGAATTTTGTGGGACTCTATAAGACATGTTTAATTTGAGTTGGTATTCTATAAATTGTGTTCAATTCAAATTAGAATTCTTGAAGACTATTCAACCTAAATTCTAATTTATGCCTGTATAAGGGGTACTAAATTCTATTAAAAGCATCTCAAAAATTTCATAAAGAGATTAATATCTTGAATACTCCACAAATTGATGGTTTGTTCATAAAGAGAGGCCAAATTTAAATAATCCTAATTCGAGAAATACGTCAACGGTCCTCGAATCAATGGATAAATCCTAAGAGAGTAGAATCAATGAATCAACAGAATTGCACCCGCTATTTTAATTAATAAAATTATGTTTCTTCATATTTTATTTGTATGATTTGTTTATTTTTCATATGTTTAAAATTTCTTGCAAACAAATTGGCATGTCAGTGGAACCAAATTTGTTCTTCATCTCTTCTCTTTTAAATCAAATCTGAAAATTTGAAGTCGCAAAAGTGAAGAATGAGTACTTCAAGCCTCTTCTTTGAGTTTAATCAATTCTACGCTCCGACACACCTCGAAGCAGGGGCATTTGTAGACATTGAAATTTAGTGGGATTCTACAAGACGTGTTCAATTTGAGTTGGGACTCTACAAGACAAGACGTGTAAACTACGCCACTAACGATCCATATCGTAAGAGAGTAGAATCAAGGATCAACAGTACCTGCTATTTTAATCAATAAAATTATGTTTGTTCATATTTTATTTGTATGATTTGTTTATTTTTCTTGCAAACAAAATTTACTATATATAAAATTAAATTAATCAAATTTTAATATAAATATGATTGTATGAATAAATGTAACTTTGCAAGAGACCACGTGACGAAAGCGATAACCTATAAAACCTTAGGCCGTCCAGAGAAGTCTCGAAAGACTAATGAAACTTTTTTTTACGCAACTGCAGAATCAAGTGTGAACATTCCAAATGGACCACTATATATACTACGTATATGTATGTGCTCCGTACAAATCTATACATAAAATCAAACTTTAGAATTTTATTTTATTTTCCCTTGATTTTCATACAACAAAAATGGCTAATGATGAGTTGATTTTGTTGGATTTTTGGCTGAAAAAGAGATTAAATATGAGTACAAAGAAGAAGAGGGGCTGATCAGTAACAAAAGTCCTCTGCTTTTGCAAATGAATCCTATTCACAAGAAAATCCCTGTTTTGATTCATAATGGTAAATCAATTTGTGAGTCTATTATTGGAGTTGAGTATATTGATGAAGTGTGGAAGGATAAAGCCCCTTTACTCCCTTCAGATCCTTATGAGAGGGCACAAGCTAGGTTTTGGGCTGATTACATTGACAAGAAGGTAAATTCATAGCCCTTTCCCCTTTTCATTTCAGTATTTATTAGCCAATCTAAACTAATTTGGGATTGAAGCATTTTTGTGTTGTGTTGTTAGAGTCCCACCTCGGTTGTGAATAGATTAGTTGTATCACTACTACAAGAAAAGTGTGAATTACCTAGAAATTTCATATGAAAGTTTGTAAGAAAATAAGTTCCTACGGATTTTCATACTAATCCTCATGAAAATCCCTATGTAATTCACACATTTCTTATGGTATATATTTATATGGATATGGACAATTCTTTTCTCATGAACTAATTTTTGAGATTGAGTTAATACATATATATTGTATTTTTAGTTATATGATATATGATATCAGAGTGAGGTCCATTCATGATTGAGCGGCTTAGCTAGAGTCACACATTGGTCGGAGAATGAACGGGTCATAATCAATTCATATGAATTTGGATAATTATTTTGATGGTCCAAGTTTCATATTTTTATGTCGTATTAGAGTAAGGTGTCCCTATTTACAGTTCCGGTTTATAACCATTTTCTTATTTGTGTTTGTTCAGTTGTATCGTTCTGCAAGGAAGATATGGGGAACAAAGGGAGAAGAGCAGGAGGCAGGTAAGAAAGATTTCATAGAAGTAAAAGTGTTGGAGGGAGCACTTGGAGAGAAGCCTTACTTTGGAGGAGATAATTTTGGTTTTGTGGATATTGCTTTGATTGGGTTCTATAGCTGGTTTCATTCTTATGAGACTTATGGTAACTTCAGCACAGAAGCTGAGTGTCCAAAGTTTGTGGCTTGGGCTAAGAGGTGCATGCAGAGAGACAGTGTGGCTAAGTCTTTGCCTGGCCAACATAAGGTTCTTGAGTTTGCAAAAATCCTTAGGCAAAAGTTTGGACTTGAATAAAGATATGTATATCATAATATATTAAAATAAAAAGGCACTTCATTGTGCCTTCTTATGTTGTTGTTTCAAGATTTAAAATGTTTGTTTGGTCATAGTGTAAGTGAGATCTACTTTTACTTGTTATAAAGAACTCTTAGTTTGTCTTGTTGAGGGTTGGGTTTTCTAGTCCTTGTATGTAATTCTGGGGCTTTTCCTCTTTGTATTTACAAGAAATCACTTTTTTCATGAGCATTGCATTGTCTATCACCAATAGTAACAAAGGCCCAGATCCAAACAAGTTAAGGATAAGACTATATGGTTTACTCGATTAAATGTTGTTTTGACATAGGTGCAAGTTAATCCGGAGTTGGAATTATATCTAATGATTTTGATAACTTTTGATCAACTTAAGAAATTCAAATTGCACGTCCAACATTAAACACAACTTGAATTTCACATTAATTTGATTTCAAATCATACAAACCTAAGATATTACAAATATTTGGGGAGCCTCTATTATACAAGTCCTTAATTGAAATGTATGTTTTGCCTTGTAATTCGAATTTTACTTTCACCGATGAAGGCATATATGAATAAAGTTAGTGTCAATTTGTAAATAATTTGTGACAAAAATGAGTTCTTTAACAGAGGATGTTGTATGAAGAAAAACAAAACAAAGATATGCAGGGTGTGTTTTGGTAAAAAAAAATAAAAATACTTTATACGGAGACAAGTGATTTTTTTAATTTCAAGATACGTAGACATTGAAATTTTGTGAAAATTTACAAAATGTGTTCAACTTGAGTTGAAACTCTACAAATTGTGATCAACTTAAATTAGGATTCTTGGAGGTTACTCAATCCTAAATTATGCCTATATAGAGGGTACTAAATTCTCTCAAAAATTCCATAAAGAGATGAAGATCTCGAATACTCTGCAAATTTCATAAAGAGATCGAATCATCCTAGTTCGAGAAATACAGGAGCTTTCGAATTATGGATAAATCCTAGGAGAGTAGATCAACAGAAATGTACTTGCAATTTATTTTGATCAATAAAATTATGTTTTCTCATATTTAATTTGTGATTGCAATTTATTTTCTGTCACATTAAAATTTATTACAAACAATATAATCTAATAAAATAGTATCTGATGGGATACATGGGTAGAGAGTGGAGGTACAGAGGCGGTAGAAGTGAGATGGTGAGGGGTAGGGATTGGAGATGTTGGATGTGTGTGGATAGAAGATTATGTCATATTTTAATTTCGAACTTAATATTGCATAGTTTGATCTAAATTTTGTTTTGTACACTCAATCATCGGAAACATAAGTTATTTACTATTTAAAGTTTGAAGACTTTTTATGAAATATATTTAGCTATGACTTTAGATTTGAGCATATGTGAAGAAAATGTATAAGTGATTCAACAAAGGTGTAGAGATTGTAATAAGTAAAATAAGAGCTAGAAGTAGGTTTAAGAAATCTTGGGGAGTGGGGGGTGGGGGATTAAACATAATATGAATTATGATAAACCTACCATTTACTAAATAGAAAATTTAAGATTTCTCCATATATAAAAAATGGAAATTATGAAACAATATTAATAGATAGTTGAGCATGTCTTTTCAATTTTATTAGTATTATATTAGTCTCTAATTTCTTTTTTTCAATTGTTCTAGAGACCGGTCCACATGATAAAGTGATAGCCTATAGAAAAATTATGAATAATACCAACTTAAACGTATTAATGAAAAAAAACATAATAATACCAACTTAAACGTATTAATGAAAAAAAAAACATGCAAAAAAATAATTATGTTTGTTTGATTTGCTAGCGTAAGTTCTACATTGTTTGTACCTCTTGAATTTTGTGATTTCAATTGAAAGTTTGAGTGATTTTATTTGATCGCATTGGTTATGCAATTATAAAGTATACCTATTTTTTTAAAAAGGCACATCCCTGTGCATTTTTGAAATTTAAGTAGCAATCGGGGTTCTTTCGAACCTTATTTACTGAATTTTTCTTATATTTTATATATATATATATATATATATATATATATATATATATAAAGATTTAAATTAACTTTTAATATACATAGTAAATATTAAATTCCTTTTGATTCTTTCTATGTTTACTTATCTATATTTGAAATTTTTAATTAAAATCATGAATATTTATTGGTACATAGTTGACAAAGATGAACGACAATAAAATTTCTATATCAATTTGTTTGACATAGATAACAAGATTTTCTTACCATTTTAACTACTTCATTTGTTTTTTCTATTTGTCCTTACTAATAAATTTCAATATCCTTTACATGTTTTTTATAATATTAAATTTTATTTTAATCAAATAAAGAACTATTTGGTGAGCCTCCATTGGTGTAGATCTAGCAGGCGACGAAAGCGCTGACATATAGGTTACACGAATCCATATATTTATATGTACCACAACCATATCAGTACCACCAATTTTGAAAAAAAATATTTCTTTCGGATTAATTCATCCGCAGCATACAAAGAACTAGTACAAAGTAATGGCTAATGATGAGTTGATTTTGTTGGATTTCTGGGCTAGCATGTTTGGTATGAGGCTAAGGATTGCCCTTGCTGAAAAAGGGATTAAATATGAGTACAAAGAAGAAGAGGGACTGATCAGTAACAAAAGTGCTCTGCTTTTAGAGATGAATCCTATACACAAGAAAGTTCCTGTTTTGATTCATAACGGGAAACCAATTTGTGAGTCTATTATTGGAGTTGAGTATATTGAAGAAGTGTGGAAGGATAAAGCCCCTTTGCTCCCTTCTGATCCTTATGAGAGGGCACAAGCTAGGTTTTGGGTTGATTACATTGACAAGAAGGTAAATTCATAGTACTAATTAGGATTTAATTTAGGCCAAATCTGAATTGATTTGGAATTGATCTTTCTATTTTGTGTTGTGTTTCACATTGGTTGGTTGAAGGTGAAACGTTTTTTTCTTAAGAGTCTTGGTTAATGGTGACCTAATGAGGATTAGCTTTTTTTGGAGTTAAATTAGGTGAACTCCACTTCTCTTTTGGCCCTCTTGTTGAAAATAAATTTAAATAATAAAAGTAATGTAATATCTCTTAAATAGTTTAACTTTTAAATGGATAGTCAGTCACACACTATTCGAGTCAGCAGAGGTTCTGAGATTAAATTTAAATTCCATCCATATCGAAAAGAATTTCACGTGCTTGGCACATGAAAAAAAAAGGAGATCATGATGAAAATCTAATTAAGTGATAAAATTTAGATGAGATATCACATACTTCAAACATGTTTAGTCCTACGCGTGTAGGGTATTAAAGTTTCAGACAAGTAAAAATGAAAGTGTTAATCCACACTTCATAAACTAGTGTTCTCCCTACTCCAGATGCTCAATCCTAGGTCCCAGATCCAAATGCTCAATCCTAGTTGTGTTAGAGTTTCACTAGTGTTGTCTAAGGTCCATTTTCTTAACATGAACCTGACTAGGGCTTTTATTTTAGTTTTGTGGCAATTAACAAGTGATAACTTCTTTTCTTTTTCTGTGTTTGTTTGAAATTTTCAGTTGTATGTTTCTGCAAGAAAGATATGGGGAACAAAGGGAGAAGAGCAGGAGGCAGGTAAGAAAGATTTCATAGAAGTACTTAAAGTGTTGGAGGGAGAACTTGGAGAGAAGCCTTATTTTGGAGGAGATAATTTTGGTTTTGTGGATATTGCTTTGATTGGGTTCTATAGCTGGTTTTATGCTTATGAGACTTATGGTAACTTCAGCGCAGAGGCTGAGTGTCCAAAGTTTGTGGCTTGGGCTAAGAGGTGCATGCAAAGGGACAGTGTGGCCAAGTCTTTGCCTGACCAACATAAGGTCCTTGAGTTTATACAAATGCTAAGGCGGAAGTTTGGAATTGAATAAACATATGCATAATAATGTGTATTTGAATAAAGCACTTCATTTTGCCTTGTTGAGTTGTTTCAAGATTTGAAATTGTTTGTTCTTTTGGTCATAGTGTAAGTTCTGCTTTTACTTTTGAATTTTGTGTCTTCATCTGAACTTGTTACTTTGACTGGATGATTGATATGAGTGATTTGATGTTTGGTTTTGCGATTATTGCATCATAATGATTTGCTTTTTTTTTAAAAAAAAGGTTCTTTGATTTGTGCCTTTTTGAGTTGTAATTTCAATGTTTGAAATCTTTTTTAGGCCAAATTTTTTCTTTTTTACCTTTCCGTAGGAGCTTCTATCCTTTTGATCCGAACTCATAACTTTCGAGTTGAAAGTGAAGAGTACTTACCATCTGAACAACTCTCTCTTATCGACTATAGTGTAAGTGATCAGTTTTAAAGTTTTAAATGACTGGCTAAACTCTAAATAAAGTTGAACTTTTGATTGAAATCTAAATAGCAACCCTAAAAGGACTATCCATGTACTCCCAGAAAGGGGAGACAAGGAAGAAGACTGGGAGTTGGAAGTTACACCCAAGGATCCTCAAAAGTCTGGAACTTGTTACATTTGAATTTTCTTTTGTGAAAATTACGACTCTTCATTATTAAATTATGAGATATAATTTATTAGTAATGACGTTGTGGTTGAGAATGATGAGTGAGTTATATAAATAATAATATTGTATAATACTAATGATAGTCAATAATAATGAACAATTGACAATAATGATAAAGGAATGAAATTTGATGTACTACTCTTTTTATCAAAACCAATCTAGTCAAGTAATTTGGATTGAAGTTTAAGAAGGTTATTATTTTTAAAATTTATGATTATAAAATTACAACGCTTATATGAATATAATATTTTCACACCATGTGACGAAAGCGGTGACCAGTAGACTAATTATTACGGAACATATTATAAAGTAGTACGATGAAGTATATAATGAAAAATAATGGACCACGTGACGAAAGCAATTTAAATCTATAGTCTATAATTAGACTTTTAATGAAAATTCTAAAATATTATCGACCTCGAGATACTCTTTTGATTTATGTAAAAATATTTAATTTGACATAATATTTGAGAATGTGAAAATTTATTATTTGAAATAAGTTATACATATTTTATAAAAAAATAGATCTAATGATCTTAAAATTAAGTAGTCTTGAATTTTTTTTATCCGCGTGCTATATGAATAAACATCCTAGATTTAAAAAAATCAAAACTGGTTAAATTCGAAATTTTACCCAAAAAGACAAATCAGGTTAAAAGTTCAAGATCATATATATGCCTTCAAAACCAATAATGTAAATCACTTAGATATTTACACGACTAAAAATTAATTTCATCAAATATAAGTTGAGATTGACTGAGAAGGAAATAGTATACTTTTTCCGTTTTAAAAAGATTGCTTAGTTTGATTTGGAACGGAATTTAAGAAAAGAAATAAGACTTTTTAATCTTGTGGTTCTAAATTAAAGTTATGTCAAATGTACCAAAATACCCTTTAGTCTTGTGGTATTAAACATGTCACGTGGAAAGTTAAAGTTAAAGTGTTGTCAAAAAAGTAAAGAGATCATTCTTTTTGAAACAAATTAAAAAAAAATAGGGACATTCTTTTTGAAACGAAGGAAATAACATAAAATATGTATAATGAGAGTAGTAAAAAGGTTTAATAATATTCGCAACCCTATAAAGTTGTTTGTACCATCTGTTTCAATTGATCACTTGAACGCATGATAAAACGTTTCTATAGGCATTATTCAAACTTCGAATCATTTTTTTTTTGTGAATTTCTGAAACGACTATTAGATAATTAAGTTAATTATACGACAACCTCAGTATAAAGACATAAAATTTTATAAGTTATAAAGGCTAATACATATAATAAAAGAATATCACATGTTTTAAGTAATTAACTTATTTATGTTAAATCAAAAGTATTTAATAAAATTATTTTATCTATATATTAAGATGCTCAATTGAAACAAAATCTTGACTATTTAAATGAAATTTACTTACAAAATTAATGATTAAACACCCATATTGGACCACAAAGTGCTACTAACAGTACACAAAAGCTTCCACAGCACTATATATCTATTACTTGTATGTACAACTAACAAATTAGTATTAACAATTGTAAAGAAAAAGTTTGTTTAATTAGCACAAAAATGGCTAATGATGAGGTGATTTTGTTGGATTTTTGGCCTAGCATGTTTGGTATGAGGCTAAGGATTGCACTTGCTGAAAAAGAGGTTAAATATGAGTACAAAGAAGAAGATGTGTGGAACAAAAGCCCTTTGCTTTTAGAGATGAATCCTATATACAAGAAAGTTCCAGTATTGATTCACAATGGAAAACCAATTTGTGAGTCTATTATTGGAGTTGAGTATATTGAGGAAGTGTGGAAGGACAAAGCCCCTTTGCTCCCTTTTGATCCTTATGAGAGAGCACAAGCTAGGTTTTGGGCTGACTACATTAATAAGAAGGTAAATTCATAACCTTTCCTCCTCTTTTTGTTCATGAATTCACTAAGATTCTTAAGCCAATTTGAACAAGGAATTAAAATCAATGTTATCTTGTGTTGTATATATAATGGGAGTGAAATGTTGTTTTTTATAGTCTTGGTCAATTATAGCACGTGAGATGATGAGAGTTGTTTTCGACCATGTAAAAAAGGTCAATTTCCCGTCCCCACAATCATGGGGAAGTCAACTTTCCTATCACGCCTAGAATTGGATATTTGGATTCTGAAGTGTGAACAATATAAAACAGAAAGCCAACATCATGTAAGTGGAACGAGATGAGATTTTTTACTATGTTAACAAAATGAACCTTATATTTAACTCAACTGCAAAAGCTAATTCGGTGAGAATTTCCCTAAACCATCCCACAATAATGTGAGATCAACTCAACAAGACTTTCCTAGGGTTCCAGGTCCATTTTCTCAACATGAATTTAATTACTAAGATATTTATCTTAATTAGTTTTGTGCAAACAAGTGATAACCTTATCCTCTTTTGGTTATCTGTTGAAATTTTAAATTGTTTGATCTTGGAAAGAAGATATGGTCAACAAAAGGAGAAGAGCAAGAGGCAGCTAAGAATGATTTCATAGAATGCCTTTAAGTGCTGGAAGGAGCACTAGGAGAGAAGCCTTACTTTGGTGGAGATGATTTTGTTTTTTATGGATATTGCTCTCATTGGGTTCTACTGCTGGTTTTATGCTTATGACACTACAAAAAAAAAATAACTTTTAGCGACATTAAATATTGACACTAATAAAGAGTGTTAAAGTCTTTAACTGACATTAGTTTAGTGCCATTAGAACCAATGTCGCTGAAGACTTTAGGGACATATACAAATAGTGACAATTATCACTAAAAATACATATTTAGCGACAATTTAGAATTAAATATCGCTAATGATCATTTTTGTTGTAGTGTGAGACCTATGGTAACTTCAGCTTAGAAGCCGAGTGCCCTAAGCTTGTGGCTTGGGCCAAGAGGTGCATGCAAAGGGACTGTGGTCAAGTCTTTGCCTGACAAACATAAGGTATGTGAGTTTGTATCAATGGCAAGACACAAGTTTGGAATTGAATAAAAGTATCCATAATGTTTTCTTGAGTTGTATAGTTTTGTATTTGCAAAGCAAGTTTGTTCATAGTGTAATAAGTTGGTTCTACTTTTACAATTGTAATAAAGGACTCTAAGCATTGTTGTGTTGAGTGCTTGTTTTTTTACTCCTTGTGTGTAGTTTAGTGCTCCTCTTCGTATACTGATCTAGAATTTAAAGATTTTGAAGCTATACTAGAGTAAATAGATCGGTTTGTTTATTTTGGACTTCGATTCAAATATCTACATAATAACTAAATTTAAAATTTTAAAACATCATTAATAACACGTGTTAAATAATACAAAACGAAGCAAGAAACGTGATTTATGTTTCAAAAGTCCTTTTCATATTACATTACTCTCGGTCTACATTTATTTGTCATATTGTGTTTTTCTTAAGTTAATTTAACTAATTTTTAAATTTAAATTAAATTACATTAGTTCAAAAAATTATATAAAAATTGTCATTTTTGAATGGTCAAATTACAATTTTTGACTCTAATAGTAAATGTTAGTCAAAGTAGTAAATTTTGTTTTTACTGAAAACAAACATTTGGAGAGCCTACACCAACCAAGAAGCTACAAACGAATCTATACATTTATCAATTCAGTAGTTGCAATTTTGGGGAAAAATTGAAAATTTTCTTACAACAAAAATGGCTAACGATGAGGTGATCGTGTTGGGTTTCTGGCCTAGCATGTTTGGTTTGAGGCTGAGGATTGCACTTGCTGAAAAAGAGGTTAAATTTGAGTACAGAGAAGAGGATTTGAAGAACAAAAGCCCTCTGCTTTTGCAGATGAACCCTATTCACAGGAAAATCCCTGTTTTGATTCATAATGGCAAACCAATTTGTGAGTCTATCATTGGAGTTGAGTATATTGAGGAAGTGTGGAAGGACAAAGCCCCTTTGCTCCCTTCTGATCCTTATGAGAGAACACAAGCTAGGTTTTGGGCTGACTACATTGACAAGAAGGTAAAAATTCATACTTTTTTTCGCCTTTTTTAGGCCGATTCGATACTAATTTGGGTTTGAAGCATTGTTGTTAATGTTGTATTAATTGAGTAGTTTCACATTGGGTTGTTCAGACTGAAATGTTGTTTTCTTAATTGTCTTTGTCAATGGTGACCTAATGAGATTGACCATTTTTTTTTGTGGTAACCCAATGTGAGCCCTTTTACTATACTATTCATGCTCCGAATGTTCAGTCTTGGGCGTGTGGAGTAGTACTAGAGTTTCACATTAATTGTAGAAATTAATTAGTCATGTTGTCGTTTGGTTATGTTTTATTGTGAAATTTTAAAAGAGTAAAATTTACGGTGAAGAATGATATTTGAAAATTCGAGTTGTGTTTGACTAAACGCCTTGTTATTCTCACTTCATATGCTAGGACTCCCCCCTATTCCAGATGCTTAATTCGAGGTGGTTGATGAAATGGAAATTTATCTCATTATATAGTCTTGGTTAATCCTTGCTTCATACAGCTACGTTCCATGCTTTATATGTTCAGTCCTACGTGTGGGGTTGTTAGAGTTTCACACTAATTGAAGAATTAGAACTATGTCTTGTTATGTAGTATTAATGGTTCCTCACTTTGTATGCTACGTTTCGCTAGTGTTTAAGGTCCATTTCCCATGAACTGACTGGGACTATTATTTTAGTTTTGTGTCAACAAGTGATGACCCGTTTCATTTTCTGCATTTGTTGAAATTTTTCAGTTTTATTGGCCTGCAAGGAAGCTGTGGACAACAAAGGGCGAAGAGCAGGAGATAGCGAAGAAAGATTTCATAGAATGCCTTAAAGTGCTGGAGGGAGTACTAGGAGACAAGCCTTATTTTGGAGGGGATAACTTTGGTTTTGTAGATATTGCTCTCATTGGATTCTACTGTTGGTTTAGTGCCTATGAGACTTACGGTAACTTCAGCACAGAGGCTGAGTTCCCAAAGTTTTTCGCTTGGGCTAAGAGGTGTATGCAGAGGGACAGTGTGGCTAAGTCTTCGCCAGACCAACATAAGGTCCTCGAGTTTGTGAAAGTTGTTAGGCAGAGGCTTGGAATTGAATAAAAATATGCCTATGCATCATAATGTAGCCATTCTTGAGTTGTTTCAAGATTTGAAATGTTTGTTTTCTTCTACTTTACTGTTTTGTTGAGTGTTGGCTTTAGTCCATGTATGAAATTTTGGGGCTTCTCCTCTTTTGTAATGAGAAGTAATTACTTCTTCACGAGCATTATGCTTCAGTTCTAAACAAGTTTGAGATTGGCTATAAGATTCTACTCTATACTATGAGGAACACATATAATAAACTGATGAACTAAAGATACTCCCTCTCGATTTATGTAAAATTGTTTAATTGAGTATGACGTTTAAGAATTTCAAAATTTGTATTTGAAATAAGTTGTAAATATTTATAAGAAATGATATCTAATGATCTTGAACTTGACTAATCTCAGAACTTTTTGACTTCACTTGTCATATGAATTCAAGATCAAATGTCCAAACTTGTCAAACTTGAAATTTTGTTACTAGACAAGCTAGGTAAAAGTTCAAAGATTATATGCCTCCAAAACTAATCTTGTAAATCTGTGACTATAAAAAGTTCCTATTAGACATTTTCAACTCAATTTTTTTTGTGTGAAAATTCTTAAACGTCTATTAAATAATTAAGTTAATTATATAAAATATATTAACATATTAGCCTCATTTGTAAAGATGTGATTTTTATGACTTATAAAGGCTAATCCATATAAAATATCTCATATTTTAAGCAATTAACTTATGCATATAAAGTTAAAAGTATTTAATAAAAATATTTTATCTATATATCAAGGAGCTCAATTAAAAACAATTTTGATTATTTAAATGAATAAAAGTATGCATAATGTATTTAAAAAAAGGTACGTCATTGTGCTTTCTTGAGTTGCAGTTTTGTATTTGAAAAGTTTCAGATACTGTAATAAGTCTATTCTACTTTTACACGTAAACTCAACCTATGAACATATCAAAAACTAAATATTACTACTAATATTTTTATTTTATTCGATTCTCATGCTATTAAATATTAAATATCTATATAAAATATCAGTAATCAAACTTAGAGTCTCAAAAAAATAATAATAAAATTAAATTAATAAATGCACCTTTGATTAAAATTTCTTCGAAGATGTGATATTATCATATTAATGCGTGTCAAGTAATATAAACAGTTTACCTTTAAAGATTCTTTTCATTTTACATTACTCTAGTAGCAGAAGGAAAAAAATACTACTGGCGGGATTCGAACCCTTGCCGGTGGCTTCGCACGTCTCTTATTGATGAAATTTAAACCAACTCACCCACAGCTGCTTCTGTTTTATGGGTGCTCGTTTAATTTATAATAACATATGTATCATATTTTCTATATATATACAAAAAATTTCAAAAATCAATGGGTGCTCGAGCACCCGCGTCTGACTTACTTGGTCCGCCCCTGATTACTCTCTCCGTTCTATATTAATTGATCATCTTATTAAAGATAATTGTGTTATTATAGTTGTTCACCTTAATAAATTAAGAAAACGTTAAATAAATTTTCTTAAATTATTCTTGCAATTTTTCTGTTTGGAAATATTCACTTATAAAAAATTCAAAAAGTATTCTAACGGATGAATTAATAAAATTATATTTGTACTTATGATTTATTAAGTACAATATGGACAGACGTAATAATAATAAATTGTTTTTAGTAAAAAAAAGAACATTTGAGAGCCTCCATTAGTGTTGACCGACCAGGCGATGTAAGCGATGACACATATATAAGCTACAATCGAATCTCCAAGTGCTATATATAGAGCTCTGTATATGATAATTTATCAAATCAGTACTAGCAATTTTATTTCTTTCTTGTTTATTCATATATCAAAAATGGCTAACAATGAGGTGATTTTGTTGGATTTTTGGCCTAGCATGTTTGGCTTGAGGCTGAGGATTGCACTTGCTGAAAAAGAGGTTAAATATGAGTACAGAGAAGAGGATTTGCCGAACAAAAGCCCTCTGCTTTTGCAGATGAACCCTATTCACAAGAAAATCCCTGTTTTGATTCACAATGGTAAACCGATTTGTGAGTCTATTATTGGAGTTGAGTATATTGATGAAGTTTGGAAGGATAAAGCCCCTTTGCTCCCTTCTGATCCTTATGAGAGGGCACAAGCTAGGTTTTGGGCTGACTACATTGACAAGAAGGTAAATTTTATTAGTTTTTTTAAGGCCGATTTGATACTAAGTTGGGATTGAAGCATTGTTGTATTATTTGATTTGTTTCACATTGGTTGGTTGAGAGTGAAATGTTGTTTTCTTAATTGTGTTTGTCAATGGTGACCTAATGAGATTAGCTTTTGGGCTTAGATTAGGTGATCATCATCTTGGGCGTGGTGGTGTTATTAGAGTTTCACATTAGTTGTAGAAATGAAATAGTCTCGTTGTCTTTTCGTTATGAAATTTGAAAAAGAAGTACTTTGTTTCCAAACTGAAAAATGAGATTTGAAAATTGGAGTTGTGTTTGATCAAACGCCTTGTTATCCTCATTTCATACGCTAGGATTCCCCCCCTACTCCAGATGATTAATTTTAGGCGTGTGGTGTGTCAGAGTTTCACCTTGGTCGATGAAATGGAAATTTATCTTATTATAGAGTTAATCCTTATTTCATAAGGTATGTTCCCTGCTCCAGATGTTCAGTCCTAAGTGCGGTGTTGTTAGAGTTTCACATTAATTGAAAAATTGGAATTATGTCTTGTTATGTAGTATTGCTTAATCCTCACTTATTTTTCGCTAGCGTCTAATGTCCATTTTCCATGAACTGACTATGACTTTTATTTTAGTTTTTGTGTCAACAAGTGATGATGACCTGTTTCTTTTTCTGCATTTGTTGAAATTTTCAGTTTTATTGGGCTTCAAGGAAGCTGTGGACAACAAAAGGAGAAGAGCTGGACGCAGCTAAGGAAGAGTTCATAGTATGCCTCAAAGTTCTGGAGGGAGCACTAGGAGACAAGCCTTATTTTGGAGGGGATAACTTTGGTTTTGTGGATATTGCTCTCATTGGGTTCTACTGTTGGTTTAGTGCCTATGAGACTTACGGTAACTTCAGCACAGAGGCTGAGAGCCCAAAGTTTGTCGCTTGGGCCAAGAGGTGTATGCAGAGGGACAGTGTGGCTAAGTCTTCGCCCGACCAACATAAGGTCCTCGAGTTTGTGAAAGTTGTTAGGCAGAGGCTTGGAATTGAATAAAAATATGCTTATGCAATTATGCATCATAATGTATTGAAAAAAGGCACTTCATTGTGCCTTCTTGTGTTGTTGTTTCAAGACTTTAAAATGTTTGTTTGGTCATAGTGTAAGTTCTACTTGCACTTGTAATAAAGGAGTCTTAGCCTGTGACTTTGTTTAGTGTGGCTTTTGTTGTCCTTGTATGTAATTGTGGAGCTTCTCCTCTTTGTAATGATAAGTAATTAATTCTTCACGGGCATTATCTACTATCGAAAAATTACACTTTAGTTATAAACAAGTTCGTGATTGGCTATATGATTCTACTCTATACTACGAGGAACATATAATAAACTGATGACAGATCCATTATTTTACTTTTTCTCGATTCTTGTTACCTCTGTTTTCCAAGTGTTTCGAAGAGTAGGGCTCGTCGCACCATTTATCTTGTTTCAGTTCTGCATGTAAAGCAGGCTCATTTTTATGATGAGTACAATACATATCTTGCAGCAGTCTGGAGGCATATGTACTCGGATGTTGTGTCTTCAGTTGAACTCATTACTTTTGGCTCGATGGTGACTTAATTCTTTGTTGGATTGATCTTTGGTTGTATAAATAATAACATTCACTCACACATCAAGATTTGTATTTTACAGGACATGGGCTAAAGTACCTGACCCATCACTCAAAGAGCCTGTGAATTAGTTAAAGGAGCAGCACCCCAATTCCAATTTTTTATCAAGCTGTTTACAGTGTTGGTGTGTGAATTAAATTTTACAGATGTATTTATATAATTAACTTCTTGTGAAGTTTGGGGCATAGTACCTTTTGTATGCTATACTTACTCGGATAATTTGTATACATTGACAGTGTAAAGAAATTATCGTATTCAGTAGTCGATGTTTAAGTCTTTGTTAATCCTTACTCCATAAGCTATGTTTGTTCTTTTCATAATGTAGTGTAGCTCAGTTCTACTTTAATCGTAGTAAAACACTCTTAGCTTTGTTTTTGTTGAGAGTGTTTGTTTTTGTAATCCTTGTGTGTAACCTGGTGCTTCTATTGTTCTATTCATTGTATTAAAACGTAATCGCTCTTTTTCATGAATATCATATACTACAAAATAGTTACGTCTCAATTTCAAATAAGTTGTGATTCTGCACGTGATAAGCTTCATATAAGTAATTAAGTAAGGGCTTGTTTGGTTGTTCAGATAAGAATTACAATTCCTAATACTCTTTATGTTCGACCATTAAAAACTCAAATATCTTTGTTTAATTTAGATTTATGAAATTGAAAATGAAATCATATTTGATTATACTTTTTGCAGAAACAAGATACCGAACACTCATAAAAGATTATTCCAAAACTTTTTTTTTTCCCGTGACCAAACATGATACACGAGTCCTAAAATTTGTTTCTAGTAAATTAAAAAAATACATCTGACGTATGTAGTGACAAAATGCAAAGATTTTGAAGAAAAAAAATAAGAAGGTTGAGGGCCCTCTATAATAATCCACGTGACTTGTGAGTCCCGTGATGTGACGAGAGTAATGACATAAAAACTCGCGTTTTAAAATGTGTTGTTTTTAGATAGAGAATGGACCACAACAGCACTATATATATATATATATATATCTTGTGCTGTACCATTAGCATATCAGTATTACCAATTTTCTTTCTTTTTCTTCATTCATACAACAAAAATGGCTAACGATGAAGTGATTCTGTTGGATTTTTGGCCTAGCATGTTTGGAATGAGGCTAAGGATTGCACTTGCTGAGAAAGAGATTAAATATGAGTACAGAGACGAGGATTTGAGGAACAAAAGTCCTCTGCTTTTGCAGATGAATCCTATTCACAAGAAAATCCCTGTTTTGATTCATAATGGCAAACCAATTTGCGAGTCTATTATTGGAGTTGAGTATATTGATGAAGTGTGGAAGGATAAAGCCCCTTTCCTCCCTTCTGATCCTTATGAGAGAGCACAAGCTAGGTTTTGGGCTGATTACATTGATAAGAAGGTAAATTCATAGTCCCTCTGTTTCAGTTAAGACGGTAAGTAACTATTCTCTTTTGGTTTGTTGAAATTTTCAGTTGTATGATTCTGGGAGGAAGCTATGGACAACAAAGGGAGAAGAGCAAGAGACAGCTAAAAAAGATTTCATAGAATGCCTTAAGGTGTTAGAGGGAGCACTTGGAGAGAAGCCTTACTTTGGAGGAGATAATTTTGGTTGTGTGGATATTGCGTTGATTGGGTACTATAGCTGGTTTTATGCTTATGAGAGTTATGCTAACATCAGTGTAGAGGCTGAGTGCCCAAAGTTTGTGGCTTGGGCCAAGAATTGTATGCTGAGGGACAGTGTGGCTAAGTCTTTGCCTGATCAACATAAGGTCTGTGAATTTGTAAAAGTGCTAAGGCAGAAGTTTGGAATTGAATAAACATATGGACCATGATTCTGCTAATAAAGGCGCTTCGCCCTTCTTTTTATTGAAATGTGTGTTTGGTCATAGTGTAATTGAGTTCTGCTTTTACATGTAATAAAAACTCTTGGATCTGTTTTCTTGAGTCTTGTCTATTGTATGATTCTGGGATTTTCGAAATCACCTTTTTTTTCCATTGGCATCGTATATAGTACAAAAAATTGATTCTACTTTATCCCATCAAGTTTCGATATATCTAGCAGTCTGGAGGCAAGTCTATTTGAATATTGTGTAAGCAGTTTAAGCAAGCATCAATAGTTGATTTCATCGCTCTAATCTGTTATCAATAGGGTTACACAGAGATAATTTACCGTTGATCCAAGACTTCCCTTCTGACTCGAATGTTATACATGTGCAACATAAGTATACATATCGTAATAAAGCATACAGAGTCATCAACACAAACACAACTTTTTCAGGCTTCGTCTCTGTGTTCAAAAGAACAACACAGGAGGAGCGAAGGGAAAGAACATTTATTCATAAACATAATATGAACTAGAATCAACAACTTCTTCCAGTTGAACCTGCAGAACCCGCTCTAGATCCGTCTCTTTTAGGCAATGCCAATCCTCTGTCTCAACATTACAACAAAATCATAGATTTTGTCAGGATCAGAAAGATACTTAGAGACATTCTCCTTTTGCATACACCTGTTGGCCCAAGCCACAAACTTAGGACACTCTGGTTCAATACTAAATTTGCCAAATTTTTCATAAGCAGGGAACCAGCTATAGTAAGGAATGAGTGCCAAATCCACAAAACCAAAACTTTCTCCATCGAAGTATGGCTTGTCTCCCAATTCCCCTTCCAACACCTTCAAACACTCAATGAATTCTTTATTAGCTGCTTCTTGTTCCTCCACTTTTGTTGTCCAAATTTTCTTTCCACCATCATAAATCTGTATTCTCCCACAAAAAAAAGAAAAAAAATTACATCCTTTTCAATCAAATTTAGCTCATTAATGAATAAATCTTACACTACACCTCAATTTCAAACTTTTTTTTTTATTATTTTTTGATGATCAACTTTCGTGCACCTCGAATAATTCCACAGGATAATTGACACCTCTGACTAGCAAGAGTTGTAGCTCTCTATCTAAATCTATCTCAACCTAATTTTATTTTTTATTTTTTGAGTGTGAAACTCTCACTTACTTCGACTAATTCCACGGAATACCTTCCACCTCCCACCACAACAAGAGACATGATACCTTCTACCTCCCACCAGCAAGACATACTAGTTAACGCTGTACATCCAGGCTAGAACATATGAAAGAATCAACTGGTATTTTTGTTTCAGCTGAATTTTGAACATCAGACCTTAGAATTTTCAACAACGGTTGATTGGCCACTAGGCTACTCCCTAGGGTAGGGTGTATCTAAACCTAAATTTATGTTAGCATAAAAGTCACACCCATGAGTAAAACATGCTCTTACAAATTATAGGATCTAAACTAAATGTACTAAGATGACAAACATATTTTATGATAGTTACATACCTTTTTGTCAACATAATCAGCCCAAAACCTAGCTTGAGCTCTCTTATAAGGATCACTAGGCAACAAAGGTGATTTGTCATTCCAAACTTCATCTATGTACTCAACAATTATGAGTGACTCACATATTGGTTTTCCATTATGGATCAACACTGGGATTTTCTTGTGAATTGGATTCATTTGTAAGAGTAAAGGACTTTTGTTCACCAAGTTCTCTTCTTTGTACTCATATTGGATCCCCTTTTCAGCCAGGGCAATTTTTACCCTCACAGCAAACATACTCACATAAGTTCCCAGAAGGACAACTTCATCAGCCATTTTTTTGCTGAAAATTTGTAGTAAGTAGAATTGCAAGAAATAATGTAGACTCTGTTTGTTGAAGATAAGCCATAGGGATAATACTTACTATGCAATATACAATAAAAAAGGGGCCCTACCACCAAATGTTAGGTCAGACTTTAGACTAACAACTAACAAATATCAATTTAATACTATTCCAAAAAGAATGATCTAATATAAATTGAAACGAAATTTAATAAAATAAAATAAAATTAATTTATGATTCTAAACAAAAGTTATATTAAATGTATTAAAATATTCTTTAATTTTATGATCTTAAATATATCACGTGAAATGTTAAAATTAAAATATTATTATAAAAAAAAGAAGATATTTTTCTTAAACAAACTAAATAAAATAGAAACATTCTTTTTAAGATAAAGAAAATATTTAATCCTGAATCAAAATTTTTATTAAAAAAATAAAAATATAGAGTAAATAAATAAACACAAAAAGAAATCAAATGATTCAATATATAGTATATTAATATATCTAGATGATAAAAAGGGGATTAACCACTACTTGTGTTGGGTAAAAAGTAACATCCATCTAGTGATCATAGTAAAAAAAAATTCACTAACTAAAAAAATTTAAAATCTAAAGTAAACCACCAATAAATCAGGAGGATATTTGAGATTGTTGCATTTTTAGTACTTACGTGAGACACACGTGCATTGCACATACTCACAACTAATATATATTACCTCAATTATAAAGTATTGTTTCAAGAAAAGAATGTTTGGATGAGTCTCTTTTGCTCCTTCTAGTTTCGTCCATACCTTCATATTTTACAAGAGTTGATGAAAATTTAAAATATAGTTACGAAGTTATGCGAATTTAATTTTTTTTATTCTCTTTTTATCTTAATAAATAAATTAAACATTTATAATTTTAACTCATTATTATTATTATTATTATTATTATTGTTATTGTAATATTAATTTGAATTCGATGTACAAATTCATAAATTTGCTTTTAAAGTGTGAGTCTTAAACATGAACATATATTTAATAAAAATTACTTTATTCCTAAACTGAGATTTCTCAACGCGAATTTGAATAAATTAAATTTCAAAATTAATGCTAGACACTTTATTATTAAGAGTAAGAAGCCAAAAAATATTATATTATGTCGTGTGCGTACCATGCTAGAAAAGTCTCATCTTCTTCTTTTGGCCTTACCATACACAAAAAGTAAATACGTACTGCTTTCTTTTAATAAAAATCATTATTATTATTATTATTATTATTATTATTATTATTATTATTATTATTATACTTTTTGAATAAAGATTGTATTTGTTGTTAGTTATATTTTTGATATATTTACTTTTATTATTTAAGTTTATGATTATATTATTTTTTATCTGTTAAATCTCTGTATTACAAAAAATTACCTATATAGTGTCTACATGAGTTTTATTTTTCTCTAATTAAATTTAATTACTATTTAAATTATTTTAATCGGTCTACACAATTAAATTCGATTCACTAATCAAAATAAATACAATTTGATTCTTCACTTAAATGTATTATATGCAGGTGTTTTTATAACAAATATAGATAACTATACACTTCCTTTCACATTAAACAACGATCAGATTAAGAATGAATGCATATTAATATTCAATTTAATATTTTTGCTAAACGTATTAGAGTCAACTTTCATATTTAATTTCGACGCACAAAATTAATTAAATAATTTATTCAAAAAAAATATAATTTTTTTGGTGAGAATATGATCTTCTATTAATTATTTTATGAGATAAAATCTTTAAATATATACCACAATTAAAAATTATTTTTTGAACAAAAAAAAAGCTTCAAATAGAAAGTGCTACGATTGATCTGTTGTTTCGACAAGTTTCTTTTCAAATTAACCTGGCATTTCCATGAGCTTTTAGATATCTCGTTGTATTAGTATATGTTTTTTGTAAATGTATTATTGTTCTCGCTTGATGTTTCTTTTTCGCTTATGTTTAGCCATATAAAAAATAGGGTTATCTGATTTATAAAATCAACATTAAGCAAGATTTGATTAAAAAAAATGAAACATATTCCCCGCGACCACTTCAAGAATACTCATACCATCATGTTCATAATAAAATGATTTGTCGTTATTGAACCAATTATTATTTTAAATTGGCATTTTCAAGAAGCTTCAATCTCACGAGTACTCAAAAGGATTTTCCAGGTATATATTCATTTGCAAGAGTGAACTGTTTATCTCAAAAAAGTATTATGCCTTTACTTTAGTCTATCACATATAGTAATATCATATTTTTAAAGTTAATAAGATAGGGTGATAGAAGAATAAGTGCTTGCACCAGAATAGCAAGACCAATTGTTGTAATATAATGCTTTGATTTTTATCCTTAAAAATCTTTTTGGGAGATAATAAATTTTAAATAGTTTAATTCAAAGTTTTAAAATATTAAATAAAATTATTATCATTTTTAAAATTTATCTTATCATTAATTTTATAAATTTATTAAGGGCGTTCACGACAAAAATAATATTTTCATCTAAATACCAATTACTTTTTAGGAAAGACTTGATTTTAGATTGAATTTTTTATTTGGCCGAACTTAGTGATTCTTTTATTTGGATTAGACATAAATAGCATACATTACGATCGAAATTACAGAAATACACGTTAGCTAAATTAAGATTCTATTACTTCAAACTTTTTTATTTCCGATAGTAAGGACATTTTGATAGTTATAACAAAAGTATGTTTTTACTTGCCCAACTCCAGAGGAAAAAAAGATAAATACTTTTATCTATATTTTTCTACTTGTTTAACTCAAGTAATACTACTTTTATAACTTTTACTTATTGGGAATTAATGAAATGAGAAAAAAAACATCGTGAAAAATGTAATTTCTGCATATTTTAGAATGCTTTAAGACAAAAGAAATGATAGAAGTGCATAGATTAGATTTGGAATAAATCACATGTTATTATTTGTATAAAAAATAATTCCACAACTTCAAAAATCATAATTAATAGGTCACACATAGACAATTTAACCATGTTTCAAACTCCCATCTGATATGTACAATTGCTAAAGCATAAAATTTTGTTGTCAAAGAGACATTAGGTTATTTTGTATGTTATTACCGGCATACATATATATACTCAAATAATGACATGTTCTAATAACTGTAAAAAAAAAAAAAAAGAGCCATAGAGGAGAAATCTCTTTGTATGGAAAACAAAACCTCCAATTTTATTACTTCATTATTCAATAGATATAGCAAATCAGAATGACGGTAATCTTATTTCATACATACATAATATGTATCCGCAGATCCGTCTTTTTAGGCAACACCGATCTTCTGCCTAAACAAGACAATAAACTCATAGATTTTGTCAGGATCAACAAGAGTTTTAGAGACACTCTCCTTTTGCATACACCTTTTGGCCCATGCCACAAATTTAGGACACTCTGCTTCAATATTTAAATTGCTAAGTTTTTTATAAACAGGAAACCAACTATAATAAGGAATAAAAGCCATATCCACAAGTCCAAAATTTTTTCCATCAAAGTATGGTTTGTCTCCCAATTCACCTTCTAACACTTTCAAACACTCTATGAAATCTTTATTGGCTGTTTTGTGCTCTTCCACTTTTGAGCTCCAAATTTTCATTCCACCATCATAAATCTACATATTCTCCCAAAAAAAAAATAATCATATATCTTTTTCAATCAAATTTATCTCATAAAAATATAAGAGAAAAATTTCCAAATATAAAAAAGTTCAACTACTTAATCAACTGAGTTCTTACGGTTCCTCGATTTGTGATATATTTACTACATACCTTTTTTCCAATATAATCAGCCCAAAACCTAGCATGAGCTCTCTTGTAAGGATCACTAGGCATCAAAGGTGTTGATTTGTCCTTCCAAACTTCATCAATGTACTCAACAATTATGAGTGACTCACAAATTGGTTTTCCATTGTGAATCAACACTGGAATTTTCTTATGAATTGGATTCATTTGTAAGAGTAACTGACTTTTGTTCATCAAATCCTCCTCTTTGTATTCATATTGAATCCCTTTTTCAGCTAGGGCAATCCTCACCCTCATCCCAAAAACACTCACAAAAGTATCCAAAAGAACAACTTCATCACCCATTTTTTTATGATTGTGTTGTGTAATGGAATTTGCAAGAAATTGCCCTAATGTTGATTTTAATTTGCTAGTTGTGCACAAAAAAACATATATAGCACTTGGATGACTTCAACTTTTTTTATTTTTGCGTGTAGGAATAGTATTGTGTTTTTTTAGTAAATGTGTCATTGCTTTCGTCAAACCAATGGAGCCCTCACTCTTTGACAAATTATACAAATGCTATGGACATATGTTTTATTTTATACAAAAATAATAATTCTATACATATGTTTTATAATGAACTAACATATGACTATCGCTAATTTCATTCACTTTTTTTATTTTTAATCAGAAAAAATATTTAGTTTAAAATTACTTACTTAAATTTAATTGTTTCTTTTTCAAACTCCTTGTGAATATATATATATTATTATAATATTAACTTAAAGTCGATGTATGAATTTATAAATTACATTCTTCTAAATTTAAAGGTCTCTAATCGAGTTTTGAGAATAAAATTATATATTTACCCAACCAAAGTAACAAAAATTTAAATAAGTTACCTCTAAGTTAATACAAGAAAAATAACAAATATCTCTAGAAGGGCACAATATTTGGTGCAAAAGTTATGGACCATACTAGAAATTCAGTGTACCATTTACCATTTGGTTGTCTTTTTTCTGATTTTGTTGGTGCATTTACCATTTCTTTGTCGACCACTCAAAAAATACCATGTACGTATTGCTTTTTCTCTTTTATTCTATTAATAGCTAGATATTTGCGCCCGTGCTAGTACGGGTTCAATATCTGTTATTTTCTATTTTACTTTATGTGACACAGATAAAATTAGATAGTCAATTGAATTTTAATATAATTTTAAATACTTTATATTGTTTATTATTATAATTTATAGTACTTTTACGTAATTTTTAAATAATATATGTTACTTTTTTTGTTCCAATATATGTGACACAAATAAAATTTCAATAGTCAATATGTTGTTAATTATAGGTGTGGTTACATGTAAAGTAGATATGTTGGTTGTCTCATGTGTGGTTAAGATGGAATAACTAAAATATCAATAAGAAATATATTTACGTAATACAAAATGTCAAAAGTCTTAAATCAATAAATAAGCTGAAATTAATTAAAGACCTCGACTAATTAAAACACAAATTTTCAAGCTGAAAATCTCGTAATTATAAAAAATACTATCCCCTCCGTCCACCATTAATTGTCGTATTTTTTATTTTAAAAGTCAAATTATCGTATAGTCTTTGAATATCTAAATTTTTCATTTAAAATATCAAATTAATGTAATTTAATTTAACTTAAAAAATTAGTTAAATTAAATTTTGAAAATGTAACATGATAAATAAAAATAAATGAAGAGAATAATTGATTTACGAAAAAAGAAGAAGTTGAATTTAAATCAGAAATAAAAAATAATGTTTGACAAGGTAATAGACCTAGACCTTGGGATTGAAATGTCAAGCCTAAATCAATAGACCAAACAACTATTATGTAAATAAGCACACAACTAAAATACACGTCTTGACCTTTCAGTTGTGTGTTTATTGACAAGTTAGATAATTATAATTATCTCACAAATTTTATTTAAAAATTAAAACTTATCCTTAAGTATTACAAGAAAAATAATATGAAGTTAGGGAAGAAAATTTCTCGACTGATAAGTATATATAGTAGTGGTTTATCTTATTTTCGTATTAGGGCCCGTTTGGCTATGCGATATAATATCATGATATGAAATAATTTGATGAAATTGAAATTTTATTTGAACACGCGATATAAAATATTTGTGTTGTATATTTTCTCATAAACATAAAAATTCCATAAGTTTTAAAACAATTAAAATAACCCCAAAACATTCAATATTATTAAATAAATAAAAAATCATAAAATCGTATAATAAATTATTATAAAGTTATTTGTTCACCACTTAAGTAATTGGTCATCAATATATTTGAGTAAAAATGAAACATCTTTCAGGGGCGCTTCAAGATTTTATTACTCAATAATCGTGAAGTGTGAGTTAAAGTGACTATATGTTGAGAATAATAAATTTTAAAAAGTAATGATGTGATTATAAATTTTCTTTACATATGTGAAATAAATGGTTAGTAAATACAAATGTGAAGTTGTTTTAACAAAATATAAACTTGTGGATCAATTTTTGTATTGAAATAACTCAAATCATGATATGGTATTCTCATATGATTCCATATCATGATTTTTGAAGAATATGGTATCACATCTCATGATATAAAATCAGCGTAAAATCACATGTCTAAACGTTAATTCTATCTCACGATATCATATCGTGATAACCTGTTTCTTTTCTTAATGTTTATGTAATTGAAAATTCCAAGCTTTGGTACATGAAATTAAGATAAGCTAACTTCCGCTAAGATTCTAGAAAAGACCAAACTTATTGAATTCTGAATAAATTATTCATACATATCAAATGAACCTTTTAATACAAATACAAACTCTTGGACCAAAATCACAAACTCTAACTTTAATCAAGCTCAAGTTTTTGTTTTTATTTTTTCAACTACAAAATGAAATCATAAATGTTCTATGGAACCAAAACCTGTAAGCAGAATTGGAACTCTGCCTCTATTGAGGTTTGATCTTTAATCAAGATCAAGTTTCTTTTTCAACTCCAATATGAAGTCATAAACTTTGTACTGATCAGGTAAAGAAGTTGAAACACTTTCCCTTTCCATGCATCTTTTAGCCCATTCAACAAGTTTAGGACATTCATGAATCATACTAAAGTTTCCACAAGTTTCTAATGCATAAAACCAACTATAAAAAGGTATAAGAGCAATGTCAACTAAACCAAATTGATCTCCTCCAAAGAAAGTCTTGTCACCTAACTCTTTTTCCAATAGTTTAAAGTGATGTATTAGTTCTTTTTTTGCTGCCTCTTGAGCTTCACCTTTTGTTGTCCATACCAATCTCCCTGTACTATATATCTGCATTAGCACATTCCAACAACAAGAATGTTACTTCTAAAGGTGGTAAATTGACAGGTTGAATCAAGTTCGACTAGTTAAATCAATGTCATGACTCAATTCAGGAGCGAATCTCTTATACAATCATTGGATTCACGTGAACTCAGTAACTTTTATTCAAATTCTCTATATATACAAAATATCTATAAATACATAACTAGAAACATTTGTTATTGTATTTTAACTTGATATCAATGCAATAACGCATATACTTCAAATTTGTTAATCTACTTTAGTGAGGTTGCTCATAGATCAAATTATTTTGTTATTGGATTTCAATATTTGACTGTCTAAGATTTCATTGTGTTTATTCAAGGTTGAACTTTTGTATAAATGTTTCGTCTTATTTTTATTTAAGTTAGGATCTTGTCAAATTAAAAACAAAAATTGAAACGATACAGAGAATACGATACGATACGTTACCTTTTTGTCAACATAATCAGCCCAAAATTTAGCATGGGCTCTTTCATAAGGATCAGAAGGTAAGAGTGGAGCTTTGTCCTTCCAAACTTCATCAATGTACTGAACAATGATGAGGGATTCACAAATAGGCTTTCCATTGTGAATTAAAACTGGGATTTGCTTATGGATAGGGTTCATTTTTAGGAGCAATGAGCTCTTGTTGCTCAAATTTTCTTCCTTGGATTCATAATTTATGCCCTTTTCTTTCAGGGCAATTCTCACCCTCATACCAAAGGGACTAACCCATAAATCAAGCAATACTACTTCATCTCCCATTTTTTGAGAATGTGTATAGTTGATGATACTGAGATTTATGTTTCTTTACTCTCTATATATAACAACATAGGCATGGTCTTAAGACTGTTGGGGAAGCTCTATCATATTGTAGAATTTTCTAGGTAGTGCTTTTTTTTGAATAGGTCTTTTTCAGGAGCAAATTCAGATTAGTCAAGCTCCAATGCAGAAAATCCTCCAAATCCAGATGGGAAAACAAAAGAAAAATATCGTAGAATTTTCCAGCACGGCAGCATTTTCTAGGGACTTCTAGATCTGTGTGACCTTTCATTCCTTCATACGACTGTCTTTTGTAGTCAATGACATCACAGAGTACTCCAGAAAATTGTTAACAGTTATAACAAACTCATGAGTTTAAACAATGGTAAGTGACTATTCTCAATTTCTTCGTGATTTATTACTACAGAAAATTCGCAGACCGATAATTTTCGTAATTGAGACGAGACACATATCAAAGCAGTATCTTATAGAAATCTGAGATACAAATCTATGAATATGGAATTCCTTCAACAATTATCTGATGATGGATGGTATTATAATGTATGTATGTTCGAAAGTGAAACCTCATCTCCAGATTCAACAATACAACCTCGACCACAATTTTATGGAAAAAAATTGGTAAGCATCCATAAAATGAGGATTACATGCTAAAAAACTACGGCAAAATGGGCATATATCATACATCACAAAAGGAATTTACGCTGCTTCTATAGGCTCTCCTACCTCTCAAGAAAATATGTCTACCGGAATAAGATGTTGCCACTTTGATTTCCTCTTTTACCTGAATGAACACATTTGGTGATACAGTACAGCTGACTGAAGAAAATCAAAGACAACTTATAATCGTCTGCGCAAACAGACATTCCATCTCCAACTGACAAAGAATACAGGCCAAGAAAATCAGCACCTTCGTCAATGGACTGCAAAATTTTCAAGGGTAATTCACATGATTTGTGCACCTTAAAACCTGAAAAGACCATTCTGCTTCTGCACATACCATGTCCAAGTGTGCTTAGGTACTGGAGGGTGGTGTTCCTTGACTAAATGATGTTAAACGTTCAATAAGACTGCCCTTCAATGATTGAGGAATTTGTGAGATAAACATTGATTTGGCATCTGCAATCAACAACTCCCTGCAAGACGAACAATATTTAGCACAAATATTCGAAGATAAAAAGAAAAGAGAGTATAAAGGCATGTGTAAGCATCATCACACTATCTATGTAATAGTCGGTAATGGACTCTGATAATTGTTCATTGACAATACAAGTACTAGCCATAGATCAGTGAACCTTTAGTCCACCACCATCTTATCCTTATTTTCCTTTTCTGATTGACCTACATGCACTTGTTTCTCAGCCAAAAGTTCATCATGACCACAACAATGACTCGGAAGGGAATTGCATGTCATCCTCATTTCTAATCTTTTCTAAACCAAGACTTTTTAATGTTTCCAGAAACCTCATTAAAGGCAGACAAGATCACAGATGCTGCTCTCATTGCTACAGAGGCCCACCCTTGACTGGAGATTTAAGAGTGGTGTTTCTGGGCTGCTATTTAAACTGGACAGAAAAGGCCTTTGACAAATTAAACAGTAAGTACCTATTATCTATCTTGAGGCAGATGGGCTTTGGAGACAAATGGATTATTCACTACAGTTAAATATTCTGTGTTGGTTCACAGGAGTCCAGTTGGAATTTCTCTCTCAAGAGAGGAATAAAGCAAGGGACCCCCATCCCCCTTTCTTTTCTTACTAGCCATGGAGGGTCTTAGCAGGATGATAGACAAGGCTTAACAACTCAACTGGCTGGAGGGTTTTGGTATTGGCAATGGGACTAATACCTCAGCCTCTGTTTCTCATGGGTTGTCTGCTGATGGCACTCTCACATCTTCTGTTGTCATGAGAGGTCAGAGGTCTAACACTTAAAAATTATTTAGATAATCTTTGAGGCACTCCCTGGGCTTCACATCACATATTTAAAGTGTCATTTATCCTGTTAATTTGGTTCCTGAATTGGATGAGCTAGGTGAGACTATGTGTTGCAATACAGATTGTTTTCCAACCACCTATCTGGGATTGTTCAGAAACTGGAAAAAGAGGTTAGCTTTGGAAACAACAATATCTTTCTTTTGGTAGCAGCATCCCTACTTAATTTATGTCCCTAATCCCCACCCCTTCAGAAGTTCTTCTGCAGCTTGACAGAATTTCGGCTGTGACCAATCACCAATGCCCCATTAGCTAAATAGGTGTAAGAAAAAGCACTTAGGTGTTGAAGGGAGCTTACTCCAAGATCTGACACCCCCCATGTAGGAGTTTGGGAAGGCCAGAAGTAAACAAAGAGCGGTAGAAGAGAATAAAGTGTTGCGTCCATTCTTTTCTCAAGAATTCATCTTTGCAGGTGGATGATGGGAATTATATTCTTTTCTGTAAAGATCTATGGTTACATCAATTGACTCTGAAGGAAGCTTAAGCGTGCCCCACGATTTTCCCCATTGCTTCCAATCGTGACTACTCTTATCGAGAATTGAGAGGGAAATACTTGGCATCCAAGCTTGAGAAGAAATATGAATGACTGGGAGTTCAAAGAACTGTCAGGCCTCCTTGGCATTTTACAGCATATTGCCATCAATCCTCAGAGGACATGTTCAGATGGGGCAACAACTTGGATGGCTTATACTTGGTCAAAGCCAACTATCAACTCATGAGCTCCAATAAAGCTCTAATTGATCAGTGGCCTTGGAAGCTTGTATGACAGGAGAAAATGCCTCCCAAACTCCAAGACTTCTGTTGGTTAGCCTTACGAAATGCCTTCTGAGTTCTGACTAAAGCTAATCATAAAAGAAGGAGATGTCACCTAGCTAACAGATGTAACATGTGCATTACAATCAAGAATCTGTCAATCATTTATTCTTACATCTCCATCACTCCATGTTGCTTCAGACATCTGGTCTATCATCTACGTACTTATCCTTCCTTGGCTTACAGTGGGTTTATGCCCTTTAGTATTAGAGAGATTTTTCATTTTTGTTAACTGGAACTAAAGGTTAGTTGAGAAATCCATCAAAAAGATCTGGTTTATCAAAAATCTATGGTTCCAGCTTCTATTTTGTGGTGCTTATAGACAGAGAGGAATCAACTGTCAACTCCAAGCTCCAGGCCAGATGCTTAGTTCTACTCTTATGTTGGGTTAATCTTACACCTGCTTTTAGCACTGATATTTTCTTGGAATTAGTAAGCTCACTAGTCCTTAGATAAGTTTTTTTTGTCCATTATTTGAGCTGACTCTTCCTACTTCTGTAATTATGCATCTGCTGGATGCTTTGCTTATTAATACACTACTTATTTCATCAAAAAAAGAATATGAAAGAATCTTAACACTCGTTGACATTGTTGTGTTCACCCAAGGATACATTTCAAGTCAAGTGCACCATGTTACAAATACTAATAATGCATTGAGATGCAGTGACAATCTTACCTCCAAACAACAGCAACAAGAAGGACAATCACAAGAATAAGCAACAAAGATCTTGACGTGCTCGAATGGTACTTTTCCTTTTCATTTGTAATCAAAAAACATTTTGCAATACAAGCTACAAGAATTATCACGAAATAACATAATGGCAAGCAAACAGCACCGGGCACAATTAATTAGGGACACACTTCTCTCTCAGTTCATATACTGCACATTGTGAAAAAGAAAAAAGGAACAGGACAAAAGTGGGAAGACAGAATTGTGTTGTGGAGAGGACAAATAGAATATGAGCCAAGGCAACAACAAACAGTACATGTGGTGAGTGGTGGATGCAGTCAAAGGAGTCGGGGAATTCAACAATTAGATCTGGAATAGAAGAGGCAAAAACAGAATATCTTCAAACAACACACTAAAGCAAGAACACAGAAAAAAGAGCTTGCAGGTCACTTACCTTGTTTAAAAATGGAAGGAAACACTTGTCAATCACTTTTGATAAAACCAAATTTCCATTCACTGTCAATAAAACTCAATCAAGTATGGCTCAGTGCTATTAATTCGAGTTGAAACTATATGAATCCTCTGTAGTTAATCCACTCAACGTATTGTTATTGAACAGTACTTTCTCGTCCCAAGTTAAATTATGTATTGCTGGAGAACTTTTAGCCACAAAGTAAAAAGAGCCAAAAACGATGTCTGCTGTGTTATGTTTACCAATCTTAGACAGAGTGGTTTAGATATGCAGCACTATTGGGTAGACCATGAAGCACTACTGGGCCGATTTGCAGGTGAAGCGCTGTTTGGCTGATTAAATAACACTCAAGTAGGAAAATGGAGGAGGGAAAATAGAGGTGTCTTTTCCCTGTTTCACGAAAAAAGATGAGGGAAATTGTATCTTTCCATCTTTTTGTATAGATTGTCCCTAAGCTAAGTCCAACAACCACTACACCTCAATCCCGAGCAAGTTGGGATGGACCTTATGAATTCTCACCGACCATACTGCTCTATTTAAGCCCAACCATTGACCCCATATTGTGCAATAACAAAAATAGTAAAAACAATAAAAATAATAAATAATTGTTGACATATAAATCTCAGCTAAGAACAAAAGATAACTAGAAAACAAGACTCCAGTTTCAAAAAAAAAACCTCCTAGAAGACATAAGACCTAAAGTAAATATACTACTGTAGCAAAAACATGGTCTCAACTGATAGGTATTCACCTATTCAGATCTTTTTCCTCCAGTCTGTCCTACTTTTGCTAGGTCTTGTGGATCCAACAGATCACATCATTCGAGAAAACTCTCATCCAAGTGATTAGTTCTAACGCGACCCCTTTTAACACCTTCAGAATCCCTAAACTAAATCCACTTTCTCAAATTAAAAACTTCTTGTGCAGTTAGCAAAATACTTTTTCTGCATGCTTCTCCATGATTTCCCCATAATTCTATCATAGAGAGATATTTCGGGACCTACTTCAATGTTAATGATGTTAAAATTTTCCAGACAATCAACTTTATGCTCATTTTGGACCATTTACATTTTAGTAGAATAATAGCTCAAATTTTCCTTGATAATTGCACCAAAATGA